TAAAATTTATGTGAACATTTATTTGAACGATACCTTTCCGATTGCAGGATAACAATAGTATTTTGTATATATATTATAATAAAATAATTTTATTCGTGAAATAATGGATCCTAAAGAAACTTTGCCTAACCTAGAGAAACAGCCGCTATGTCCGTGTAAGGTGTAAATCGTGTGCAGTAAAGTCAAATCTATATAAAAGAATACGATCTGGTATGATTGCTAATGAGATAACTCTCCAACGCAGAACAATTGACGTGGTCATTATTTTATAAAATATATTAGTTGAAATTTACTCTTGTGTAAGTAAAAGAGAGGTAAAAATTGTCAGAGGGACATTCAAACTCATAATTCTGACAAACAAACTGACAACGCAATGACTAAAAAGAAAAAGACCAACAGACAAACAATAGTACACAAAACACAACACAAAAACATAAGGACTGAGCAACACGAACCGCACAAAAACTGGGGGTAATCTCAAGTGCTCCGGGAGGGTAAGCAGATCCAGCTCCACATGTGTCACCCGTCGTGTTGTTCATGTTAGTACAACCCTGGTAATAAGTCTAATTCAGAAGGTCACTTTCGGGAAAAGCAGACGGGATTATACATTTGTAGTTACGACATCAAGAATATATCCGCTATCATCTGTGAAAAGGATATTCCATAACGGTCAATCAACTCGTGATTGCGTCCGTAAAATTTAAGAAGCGATAATTTCAACTCGACCACTTGGAACTTTTGATTAAATAAATAGCTTCCTTGTGAGCAGCAATCCTTTATCAAGGAAATCATGATAGGAAATACATTTGGTCTTTTGTGGAGAGTTGTCTCATTGGCAATCGTACCACATCTTCTTTTTTATAAGCCCTGGAAAATTGTATCAACTGGGAGATATATACTCCGTATAAATGTATAACTTCATTTAGGTTATGCTAAGATGAAACTGTATCATGTTGCTTAGCATTTCGTCTTTGCAATCAGTAATATTCGTATGATTTCCCCCAATACTCAAATTTGACATCAAGTTTAAACAAACTGTTTTGTAAGTTATTAAAGAAGCTGGCATGAAAAATGTGAAACAATTGGAGATGAAAAAAAAACATTTGCTTAGTTTATGATTAAAGTAACTACCAAAACACAATTAAGGCAGGCAACAACGAATGACAAATGCTTAATGTCATTTGTTGCTGTGTAATATATTTGTTTTTCGTTCATTTCTTTTGTACATAAGTTAGGCCGTTAGTTTTCTGGATTGAATTGTTTTACATTTGTCATTTCGGTGCCTTTTTCAGCTGACTATGCAGTATAGGCGCGCATTGTTGAAGGCCTTACGGTGACATATAGTTGTTAATTTGTGTGTCATTTGGTCTCTTGTGAAGAGTTGTCTCATTTGCAATCATATCTCATCTTCTGTCTTATAATTATTTACAATTACTGACTTGTTAGGCAAATACCTTGACAAAATTTAGGCGCCTAATTGTTAATTATTAAAATTTAACGTAAAAAAATCGGGAAAACATCTGTTGATAAATTGGAAAGGTATTAGGAGAGCAACTATTGTAAAATTATAAGAAATTACAAAAGTTAATACAGTTTTAAATAAATAGACTGAATATATTTTGTTAATTATTTTGCTTTAAATCAGGCTATTATCTTACTTAACATTATGGGTTGTGTTCATATTAAAGGACGAACAGTTACCTATAGCTTCTGACACCGACGTCATTTGGATACCGGTAAATATTTGTCTCAAATATCATTATCTTTATAACGAAAATAAGCTGAAAAAAGTGAAATAACAAAAATGCCGAGTTCCGAGGAAATTCTAAACGGAAAGGTCCCTAAGCAAATGGCAAAATCAAAAGCTCAAACACGTCAAACGAATGGATAACAATTGTCATGTTCCTGACTTGGTACAGGCATTTTCTGAACTAGACTTGACTAGGACTAAATAAAACGCTATCAAATAAAATAAAATAAAATAAAGTTATATGAATCGCTTAGACTTGATAAGACCTTTTTCCTTAAATTTAAGGCAAAGAAAAACTAAAGAAATAATCAACGCTCTTACGTAGAAGAAATACCGACAAACAATGTTAAGAAAAAAATGGAGGAAAGGAAAAACATGGTATGTATAGTGTCCGGCTAAGATCGTGGTTTTTTGAGTGATTTGATTGGTTTTTTTGGAGTGTGACCACCTTTTTTTCGAGTGAATATGTAAAAAAATGTAAATAAACAGACTTCCTCTTTGAAAAAGACGTGATATAGAAGCTTGAATTTAATATACAAGGTTATATATGATATGTTACTATTTGAGATAAAAAGATATTATCAATCCGATATTATTTTTCGTTAAAAAAGTTAAATTTAGCCTTACAATGCTTTTATTCCAAAATACAGAATAAAGCCATTTTATACACATACCAATGCAAACACTTTACAAAAATTCTTGTTATTGCATTGAAAACGACATTTTGAGACTAAATTCATTTCTATATGTCCATGTTTTTTTCGAGAGCAGTCCATGTTTTTTCGAGTGCGTCCGTGTTTTATCGAGTGATTATACAAATTTCCTATAGCTTAAAGTGTTATGTGTCAGTTTATTTACGTTTAAAAACAATTAAAAAAAATTCAAATTAAGTACTTTTCAAGGCACCAAACCAATGCGTTCATCAGTTTGATAATGGTGTACTAACACTTACATTTTATAAACAAGTATCGTTTATTTGTATATATTGTTGTTTGTCACATCTTATAAATTACACTAAAACACAACCGCGAAATCACGGACATTTAGAGCGTGATTGAAAGTATGTAAACTGTTGTAGGATGAATTTTTGTTAAAAGATTTTTTGACTGGAAATTTCAGGAAAGGTATCTTTAACATGAACGGATGTCTATATAACATTTTTATTTTTCACCAGATTAAAAGAAATGGGATTTATGCACAAAACCGTCAAATTTTACTGAAATCTGGAAATGGCATCGGACTTAATAAGGTGTTGACTTTTAAGAAAGCAAATTAACTCTAATATGGGGTGCTTGTTACGTCATATAAATAGATCCATAATAAAAACCCAATAAACCACAACCACTATAAATTGACGACGTCACAATGAGATTTGTGCACAAAAACGCCATATTTTACTGAAATGGCGTCAAAGTTTTCAGTGGGAAACTTTACAATATTAGAATCCAATTAATTCATGCATTCCATAGATTTGTTTTCTCTTTACATGACATGGGTCGTTATATTCGTTAATTTTATCCCTTGCTTACGCTCGGGATAAAATTCCAATATAAACACCCAGGCCATGTGAAAATTTTCAACAAATCTATGGCTTGCATGAATTATTTCTTAAAATATACCGGTTCCAGGGGTCCCAAGACATTGGACCGAAAGAATGTTTGATACCGGTTCCTGTTGCTCAGGTACACAAAACATTGTATATAATCAAGTTAATAATTAAGGGTTATTTGTAAATTTATCAAAAATCTGTGTAATTATAAACAGTTCTTAACGGAAGGCTTGTCTATGACTAAAAAGTCCGTCCAATGACGGAAACAATATCCGGACGTCTTTATTTTTGTTTTCCTCCCAAAATAACCCAAACGGAATAATCATAAGCGAGGATGACAAATGCGACTATGCATGTTACCTATAGGACCCAGAGGCATGATGATTAATTTATTGTGGAAAGAAAAAGATAGATGTACAGTATATATTCGTGATTTCAACAATCTACTGCAAGCATAGACAATTTTGATTGAGACGTACATACATATAGTGTGTTAAGCTGATGAACTATTCATTTCATTGTAAATTATAGATGAAATTTAATTCAAATTTCGCTGTCAATGGGAATAAAAATGGGGCGGATTTAGTGTGTGTGTGTGTGTTTTTTTTTTTTATTAATGGATTTCGTTTTGTGGAGCTCTGACTAATTTACTAATTTACTATAGATCACCCCCAGTTTTTGGTGGGGTTCGTGTTGCTAAGTCTTTAGTTTTTCTATGTTGTGTCATCTGTACTATTATTTTTCTGTTTGTCTTTTTATTTTTGGCCATGGCGTTGTCAGTTTGTTTTTGATCTATGAGTTTGACTGTCCCTCTGGTATCTTTCGTCCCTCTTTTAATGGAGTTCTATGCCAGCATGGAAGCTCTGACTAATTTGCTGGTGTTCCATCGAGAATTAAACTTACGATGAAAGTTGTGGCACTGACACGTCGATTAAAGAATCGCAAAACAGATATACAACTCATAACTTTATACACCAGACGACGATTTAATTCATACCAATCACACCTTCTGCGCTTGAATGAAAACAGTTGCAAAATTAGGAAAAAAGATAAAAAATTATGAAAACCAAAAAATTCATTAATTTTTGCCAGATATCAAAGATCTAAATAGTCAACATGTTTTCTTTTTGTAATGCTGTCAGTTTTCCGACTAGAACAGTTGTTACGTAATTTATGCAACTTTTGAGTTGTCACATTTAGATATAAACAGAGTAGCATTACAGCAATGCGAACGTCTTTCTCTGAAGTAACTATTGAGCAAATCAAGAGGATCGCCTTGGAAATCCATAATGCAGAAACAGTACTGAGATAAGTGTTAACTATTTTAACAAAAATAGTTTAAACTGTTGAAGTTATTTGTAATTTCTAAATAGGACAGCTTTTGTAGGGCTTGTACATACATATGTAAATGTATGAAAAAAAGTTATCAAAGTTTATGTATATGTTTTTTTAATTTGAAATTTCAAAGAAATAGTTTCAATTATTTTCAATTTTTTTCCTTAAATTTTTACTTATTTTAGAGGATTTTTTTCATATCTAAGTTTTTAAAACCTTAATATTGTTGCAAACTTGATGCACTTGCCAATTATACTTTCGAAAATAAATTATTCATTTTTTGTCTAATTAACCGAATATCAAAGGTATTAATTCGCCAGTGTTGTACTCTTATTTAATGTCCAAGTGATAATAAAACAAACTCACCTGTCAGAATATACAGCAGTAAAATGATTATCCTCATTTTAAATCTTTAACTATGTTCCAGATAAAGCTAATACTGAAACTCAAATATTTCTGTTCTCACTTTATATATCAAGGATGGTAAGTCGTATGCTTTGAATATTTAAATTCACTTCACATTCAATTTTTAAATGAATATTGAATTTTCAGGCGAACCAATAGCTCTCTAGTGCAATTGATCATTAAACAATTAAAGTATTGAAATAAAAAAGTTACAAATAAAGGAAACATTATGTTGCAAATATCATCCAATTTTGATCTTTATCAAACGTTTCGAAATTTTAAAAAAATGATATTGGTTAGTGAACTGAATATCATATTTGCACATTTAGTTCATGAAAAAATTTGGCACAATTTTTTGAAACAGTTTGTTTTCAATGGTTTTCACCTTCATGATTAATTAATTCCAAATCAAAAGTTTGTCACTTGTGGGATCTGTTTAGATCTCATTTCTGTCTCACGTATTAGAATTGTTTTTATTTTGTTGTTTTTAAAGCATGTTTTGTTAATGACTGGTTACAAACACTTGTTCTTGAAGTTTCGGAAGGTATTAAAGGCCCAATAGTCATCACATGCAGTTACATAACATAACATTTTTTGTAACATAAGTGTTATTTATTTTATGTAATTGGAATAGCAATCCAATGAAACATAACACCAAATGACAGAGAGAGGTCAGCATTTGCACGTCGTTTAAGGCAGAAGTAATATAGTATGTTAAGTTGTAAATTGTGCAAGTTCACAATTTGCCCTCAAACGAAATTCACTAACGACTGATAACATCATATAACCCCAGGAAAAGATTACCTTAGCTGTATTTGAGAAAACCTTTTTCTGAAATTTTAGTCCTCAATGCTCTTTAACTTTATTTGGCCTTTTAAACTATTTAGATTCGAGCGTTCCTGGTGAGTCTTATGTAAACGAAACGCGAATCTGACGTATTTATAACATTAGGAAACCAATGGCTATCTTCCTTACAGAAACATGAACATTTTAAAATCTCAGACTCCCTTTTTATCTCGTTGGGAGAACTGAAAAAATGTACACAAAAGAAAGCAAAATTATGGACAGTACAGGAAACACTTTAAACAACTGAACAAAATAAGGTGTAACTGGAAGTAAGTCTTGAAAAAAGATACGAATGTTGATTTTTATTATCCGACATCTTTCTAAGTTTGCATTCAGCTTTTCAAACTTAGTTTTACAATTAAAACAAAAGCATAAAAACGGAATATTCCAAGGTGGCAATCAAATACCATGTCGTACACAGACAAATAGCAGTATTGCCAAAAAGATAGAACTGACAAATCGTCCACAAAAGCTACACAGATAACATTCAGCATTTCGAAAACAACAACAACAAGCTGTTAGTCACCTATTCTCGAAAGTTAGACAGTTCCTACTTAATTATAGCAACTGTCACAAAATTAAAAGTTTACACATAATTTCCATATTTGTATTTATTTCGTTATCATTTAAAGATTGATGATTGATATCAGTTTTTAAACAGACAAACCTTACGCAGATATTTTTTTTTTTTGGTCTATAGTATTCGACATTAGTAGTTTGATTTTCATTACTAAAAGTTAAAATGGTATTTTTTTATATATTCGGGGTTTGGTTGTTGATCCTCTGTTTTCACATTTATTTGGGCAACCAAATTTTATTCGGACTTCATTTTGTACAAATCTATTTTGTCTTTTAACTTTTTATTAAATGATAATCGTTTTGGATATTTTTCTTGTAAATAACCTTTAAGCAAAATGAAATAGCAAAACAGCCATTTAAATCACTTACGTTTCAATGTGTTTATGTCTCATTGACGATAATTGAGATTTAGATATTTATTGCTCACATTTTAACTGCAGTTAGATCGATCGCGATTTTTAATAGAAACTATATAACAATCAGCTCTACTTTTGTCAATATGCACACACCGGAAATATTTCAATATATTTTTCTTTTTGTCACAAATATCTTAAATGTTTAAGAGTGATTTATTTTATTTTAAATCATAATTGCAATTATAAATACAAAGCAAAATACTTGATTGACCCCAAAACAAATAGCACGTTAATCAGTTTAAAAACAATTCGTTAAAACGAACAGTATTTCAAAGATACGAGATATAATTACATATGAAACACATACACATCAATTATGCATATCTTATTTTGGAACTATCTTACATGTTGTTTTTCTTGTCACATTAACCAATTATGTCTGTTTGAGTTGATCATACGTAATACTGTAATACAAGTGGGAGCTTTAGCTAGCTATAAAATCAGGTTTAAACCACCATTTTCCTCTGGAAATGCCAGTACTAAGTCAGGAATATGACAGTAGTTTTATTTTGTTCCGTTGGTTGATAAAGTTTTATGTTTGATTTTGTCAATCATTATGGATTTCCCCTTTTTTTAAATCTACCTTGGAGAACAAAATTTTTTGTACAAATCTATTGTGTCTGGCCGACTTGTTTTGTACTCGTATGAAGCAGAATTCATTCAGAACTTTCTAAAAAAAGAAAAAAGAAAAAGCACCTTGCAAAATTCTTTAATTTTACTTTTAGATATATTGATGATGTCCTATCACTGAATAACCCATATTTCAGTCAGTAATTGCATCTCATATATCCCAGTGAACTTGAAATTAAGGATACTACTGATACAAGAAGGACTGCTTCATACCTTGATCTTTTCCTCAATATTGACACAGATGGACGACTTCATACAAAAATCTATGACAAACGGGATGATTCCAACTTCACAATTATCAATTTCCCATTTCTCAACAGTAACATACCCTCTGCTCCATCGTATGGTGTCTACATATATCAATTGATACGTTATGCTCATACATGTTCACACTATAATGACTTCATATACATCTATATATTTTATGGACACTATCACGAATTGGTTGATCTATTCGATGGGTCTGCGTCTAAACTAACTAATGACATCTTTACCACGTTTTAGACTGTGGTTTAACATCTATGTCGTCTGTCTGCTTAGTACATACGTGACTTATTCCCGAATATGACTGTTATACCGAGTGTGAATTTGCATTGCTATACGACGTGTCTCGGTATTTTGTACATCCAACATTCATGTATTTATTTTTGATGTTTCTGTTATAGTTTCGGTTGGATAATGTGTTATGTCTTATCGTTTGTAATCCAAATAATCATACAATTGCCTTTCAATTACATCAATGTCATGAAAATTGTTTTGACTGGTTTTGTGAAAATAATTGTATTGCGTTCGAGATTGCATGTTCTTTACGTAAGTAAGTGTGTCACTGTTTGTGGTGTCTATCGTTGATGGAAGATGTTCGTTGTTGTTCTGTGGTTTGCATGTTATGCCGACTATTTTATCATTTGTTTGTGCGTTTCTCTGAGGTGAGTCTTCTTGTGTGTGTTTGTGCTGTATTTCTGTCACGTAACGTTGTCATTTTAGAGATATGTTTTAACATTGTCATTGAAAGCGGGAGGTTTGGCTAGCCATAAAATCAGGTACAAGCCACCATTTTTTCTAAAAATGTCCTGTACCAAGTCAAGAATATGGCAGTTGTTATCAAAAAGTTCGTTTTATGTATGTTGGCGTTTGTTTTTGTTGCACTTCAGAGGTCCTGTTGTTCCTTTTATTTCCTCTTATAGTTGATGTGTTTCCCTCGGTTTTAGTTTGTAACCCGGATTTGTTTTCTCTCAATCATGACTTTTGAACACCGGTTTACTACTGTTGCCTTTATTTATACTTTATTTTGTCTAATTTTATGTGAAGATATATATCTCACTGTCTAGAAGCAGACAAATTTTATAGCTGAGGTTGATTGGCAAACTATCTACTGTGATTGACTTCCGTTAGTTTTTATATCAGTGTTTATGTCGTATGTAATGGGAAATTTAGCGATAGAAAGATAAATGAATATATTCAATATAAGAATTAAAATTACTTCAGGTATTGCTACTAAAATCGTCGCTCAATAAATAATACCCTAGCAATCTGTGATTTGCAAAAGAAACCATAAACAAAACTGACTGTGATAGAAACAACATAAGAGGTGCTTAGTGAAATTATTTGGTTACTAATATGAGAATGTTTCAGTAACTTTTGGTAGCAGGTTAAGTAGTTGAAAGGGTAACAAATATTACTAACTGTATGTTGTTGATTTGATACGATCCATATAATGTCATAGTAAAATAACATTATTCGTTTTGAATTGAATAAGGGGATAAAAGTATATTGTATTTAGTAGCTCCTTTACTATTTCACTCCTGCTCCAAATTTAACAAATCAATTTTGTATTGTTATATATCATTACTATATTACTAAAACGGTTGTAAGAGAGCCTGTTCAAACTAAACCAACTACTACTAATTTTTCTAATAACCCAAGAATCATAAACAATCGTATGTTCAAATCTTTTAACTTATGTTTTGGTGTGGTGAACTTTATTGACGAATGTCATCAATAATCCTTTATATAAGCTGTTCATAAAGTTTTTGTGTGTCTTATTTAGAATAAAAATTTTAATGATTTTGGAGTTCACATGATTCCATCAGTTTTTGTTTGTTTACTTGATTTGTCTCTTCCTTAATGATTTTCGAGATTTTAACAGCGCTAAACTAATGTCGTCTAAATTTACACTAGCATTTTTTTCAGATTTCATTGTGAATTGGCATTCCGCCTGGAATGTCTTATGGAGTCAACAATATTTCGATTAGAATTATACCACATTATATTATAGTATTTTGAAGTATTATACACAATCACAATACAAATGCAGTATGCATTCATCATGTATGTTAAATATTTCAATAGACACATTTTATCACATAAACGGTGATCTGTTTTCATTTAAATGACCTCTAGATAACAGATAATCTCGCTTACATATTTCAGGAGAAGTATTTCTTTTCTAATAAATTCTCTAAGCTATGGGCTGTTTTACAGGGACTTGTATTTATGTATCATATGACTCCGATCCTTAAAACCTCAACATTTTTTAAGCATTTAGCAAGTTAC